CAATTATAATAAAAGATATTTTTGCGAAAATAGAGAGCATAATAGGACAGCATGATGTTGTTCTTTTTATGAAAGGGACGTCTAAGATGCCTAGGTGTGGGTTTTCAGAGGTTATTTTTAATATCCTTAAAAGATTGAATGTCACATTTCATTCAGTGAATGTCTTGAAAGATCCTGAGATGCGGAAAGGAATAAAAAAATTCGCTGATTGGCCAACCATACCACAATTGTACGTGAGAGGTGAGTTTATTGGTGGATGTGATATCGTGAAAGAAATGTACCAGAATGGAGAATTCCAGGCGCTCTTACAAAATACTTTAATTAACTGATCCGTAGCCTTGTTACTAATGCCTCCAGGCTGCCAAATTATTGTACTTTGTTGAAAGGTCTTCCTTATGTTTTGTAGCGGTTGTGTAGGTATTTTATAAAGTCTGCATGCAAAACCTAGAGTGTATATTTTTTTGGCATGGACATTGAAACTGCATTTAAGACCCACGTTAATGCAAAGAGTGTAAGGCCAAGAGCATAAGCAGAGATACTTTCTTCGCTGTTGAACGTTTGGTCACCTGTTTGAATTGTTACAATCTGAACAGTTATTGTAGTAACTGAGTGAACTATAGTGTAATCAATGTTCGCTGAAACACCTGTCAACATGAGTACTACTATTGTCTCGCCTAGTGCTCTAGAGAAACCTTAAAGTACAACAGCAATTATTCCAGGCGTGCAGTATGGTAATATGACTCTCAAAATGATTCCAGTCTGCGTGCTCCCGAGAGCTGCAGCACCATAATAGAGTTTTTGGTGTTGCGCGTAGCAAATCGCTGGTTAAAGATGTAATAAGGGGAATATTCATAATGCCTATTACTATTCCTGCTGATAAAGCACTTTTGGTTGAGATACTAAGGTCTATAAAGTGTCCAAGTTTTTCTACCAGACCTGGCACAAATGTCATAGAAAAGTAACTCTATACTATTGTTAGGATACCAGCCATTATCTCCATGATTGGCTTAATTACGTTCTTGATGTTCCTTGACGTAAATTAAGTTATTGCGATGGAGGAGGAGCTCG